CTTCCATTTAGCGGTCATTTTTTGAAAATGACCCAGTTGTTCAACGAACAATTCTCTTACCAAAAAATTTAAGTGTCTGTACACGGAAACCAAACGTACCTGGAGACTGAATTTGAAACCTTTAATTTGTATGTGGACGGGAAATATTCTCCTAAAATTTCAGCTTTCCTAGTTCCCGAGTTAGTAATTCTTCCCGCCAAAAATGTTCACAGGGCCGTGAAAACCATGCACGCCCGGTGGCTGTATTTGAAAAATTTATGTTGTACATGGCGGGGAACATCTCCTTGAAATTTCGGCCTCTCAGCTTTCCCGGACCTAGAGTTAGCAATCCTTCCCGCCAAAAATTTTCATGGGGCCGTACGTAAGAAACACACATGTCTGGGGGCTGAATTTGACAAGTTTAAGCTGTGCATGGGCGGGGAACATCCCCCTAAAATTTCAGCCTCCTAGCTTTCCTGGCCCGCAAGTTAGCGATTTTCACGCAGAAACTATGGGGTCATATCAGGGAACAACGTACACCTGGGGCTGAGTTCAAAACCTTTGAGTTCTGCGTGAGCGGGGACATAACCCCACAATTTCAGTCTTTCAGCTTTTACCGTTCCTGAATTAGCAATTTTTCCGCCAACATTTTTTCACCCGTTCGTACGCATAGTGCAGGCTTGAGTAAGGGTTGGTACCGCGGTTCTGAGGTGGCACTTGCCCGAGGAACCAACTGGGGAAATTTTGTTACCGGAGCTTGCTTGATTGCCGAGCTGAAATATCCGGACAGACGAACACACACACACACACACACACACACACACACACAAACAAACACACACACAGGGTTGTCGCAATATGCGTTTTTGCATACATGCAAACTGCAAAAACGCATACTGGGAAAAAGCTGTCTGTATGTGTATGGTGTCTGTGTTCGTACTTTTTGTTACCAACCTTCAACTCGAGAACTAGAGAAGCTGGAAGGCTGAAATTGGGGAGTATGTACCCAAACCATGCGCAACCCTCCCGTTTTAATATCATCCCCCGTGTAGTGCGGACGCTTAAAAAAAGTGACGCGGGGCTCGGACGTACATGAAGGCAGGTAGCGCGGTCCTAGGTCCATACTTGGCCGGGAACCAACTGGCAAAATTCTAGCGCCGAAGCTTGCTTATCTGCCGAGCTGAAATATCCGAATAGACGGACACATGCACAAACATACACACACATACACACGCAGACAGGGTTGTCGCAGTATGCGTTTTTGCAATTTGCACATACGCAAAAACGCCTAAAAAGTGTGGAAAAGCTGGCAACGCTAATATAGCTGCACTGTGTAGCAGGACTTGATTATAGTACCCAAGTCAAGCCTGGATGTTTAATTGCTAAAAAACTGAAAGACTGTAATAAGGAAAGATTAGAAAGAGAAAGTGAGGAAAGACGTCTCGGCCCAATGAGTCATATACGCCTTAACGCTGCAACAGCTTCTCGTCAGTATGACGG